AAAAACGTACAAATCTGCCCAGTTTAAAAAAAAACTACTGATAAAGAAACAGACTAACAGACAGAGAAACAGAAGTGTTTATATGCATATAAAAATTTTCTTTAGTACATCAGGATAAAACACAGAACACTTAGTAGAAAAGAATAACAGAATTTGAAGAAGTGCACATGCATCATTTGGGATGACAAGCAGAAACCAGAAAGTCTGAATTCAAGTAAATGCCATAGAGAGTTGGCATCAGCATGAAGCCGCTGTACATTTGCAGTTACTTTTTCATTTCTCTTTTGCATTCCCTGTGTCCAGCAGAAAGGGGGTTTGGCGAGTGCTCACTGACAAACTCTAGAGCAGGATCTCAATGTCTGGAGAAGCAGACATTGAGGGTCTGGCCAGCTAGAAAACCTTCACTAAACAACATCACAGTGTGACAGCAGAGGAAACTGAGGGAGTGATCAAGCAAAGCAGAAGAAGCCGAGAAGCCAGAACCAGGACACAGTTTCTGTACCAGGAATGGTACAGAATGAGGATGGGATCTGAGCTGGTGATCCATCCTGCCCTGACAGGCTGAGAAACCCTTCCTATTTCCCAAACACTCCAAGTACTAAGACATAAATCAAGTAGAAGAAATGCAATTTTGAAAAGATCTGTTTACCTGTGCTTAGAAATCTAACACTAACGTTTTCAGCTAAAAAAAAAAAAAAATTCTGGTCACCTTTAAAATTTGGAAGTTGTAACAAAACCATTTTCAGCATTCAGTATTTAAAAATGCTACAAATCAAATTAGCTCTTTATTTACATCTCTCATGCACCATCATGTCCTGGGAATGCTTCAACACTGGCACAACTGCTGCTGAACATTATGATAAACCACCACAAAATTCCAAAGTATGTACTTTGTCCCACTGGGGAAAAATTAAAATATAGTTGCTCTGGTTCTAACTCACATCAGATTTCACTCCTTCTGTAAACGAGTAAACAAAACTATATCGATCTTGGCTGTTACATCAGTCAAGAGCTTTGATATTTCACAAGGGGCCCACATTTATAAACAAAAGAGGAAAAAAACCCATATAATCTGTCAGCTTGGCTATCAAGAGAGCTAACTCAAGTTTCTCTGGTTTGGGGAGCTATTTTAGTATTTCCTAGCATAACAAAACATGATGGAAGAAAACTCCAGAGCATCCAAGTTTGGGTCCAGGCTCTTATGACACTAGACTATGTCTATGTCTCAGCCCTTATTTTCTATTATATTTTTGTAATGATCCCCTTCCAACTTGAATGATGAAAGTGCACATTTTGTAAATGACACCTCTGACAATCTGCCCCATCTGCATGAATGACGGCAGATGATTTCACTCTTTAGGCATTCAAAATAAAATGCACATACGGCAAATTCCAAGCTGGCAGGAAAATCCAGTCATTAAAAAAAGTGATTTGTTTTCTAGAATTGCAAGCACAAAGACTCCATTTATTTCCAATGCCATAAAGAAAATGAACTGTTATCTTTTTTTTAAACAACCACAGCCAGGGTATATTGGAAATGTTTTAATTTCAAAAATACTAACTGGCAAATTAGAGTCTAAATAGTTTTTCTAAAGTGGCATCATTTTACATACAGTTTTCAGATTTATTTCCTAACTTTTCCCTGCAGGAAAAGGTTTTATCATCTTCTGCATAAACTGTAACGATGCCTATTTGTTGCTGGTGTCACTAAATTTAGGAAGAAACCTAAGATACGTGATTTTCAAATAAAATTATACTCATTAAGAAGAAACTATATCATATGTTATGGGAGCCTGAAAAAAACCCTACACTTCTATTAAAATAAGATATTTATTGTTTCTGTCATTCTGTCTTTCCTACTTTCTCTTAATAACACAGAAGAATGGAAACAGAACAGCAAGTTAAGAAAATATCAAACATAATTGATATATCCCCATCCTAAGAAAGCTTGCAACCATGATCAACTTTGATGAACTAGATTAACTGCTTAATTGAACTCACCAGGACTATTCCCTACACAAAATGTAAGCACATGCATCATTCTTTCCAGGATCATGATTATGTAAGTGTCATCTGTAATGAAAATAAAATTACCTCCTTTTTTTTTCCCCAAACATCTCCATCTGTACTTATTTTTGTGGCTATAGCAGTATCTAGTGGACAAGTAGCAAAATGAACACCTAGCATGTGATAAAAATATATGTATTTTTAAATGTAAATTGCTTTAATTTCTCTTGCCTTTTTTAAAGTTAAAAAGAAAAAAACTATAAAAATCCAGTTTAGATAATCCTTAATAATTTTAAAGTTATTACATCTCTTATAAATGCTTTTCATTCTTACCTTTTTCTCTCTCATTTGACCTCTCAGCTAAGTGCTTGCCTATAATGAAGTGCTGGTCATAGTCCATTAGTGAACACAGGCCCAACTATGACAAAAATGTACAAATACCCCATAAATACTAAGGTTGCACAGTTAAGCAGTCAAAAAATTAGAACGCATCATAAATAAAGTTTTTAAAGTTATAGTTACGAGAACAAAGTGAACTCCTGCAGGTTTTCTCTTGACAGAATCAAAGCATAAAAAGAACTCAGATCCCCAAAATAACCACTGAAGAGCAAGGTAGCATCCTAGGGTGGCTGACAGACATTTTTTTCCTGCTTCACTTATCTCTTGCGTGTTTTGTTCTGACTTTGATGCAATTGCTCTTGCCTCTTTCATATTCCTTTTACTGAAATATCTGCCTTATAGGAATATCAGTTTAGAACCTGCAAAAAAAGTATTTAATGGCAAGAGTTAAATACAGGTGTAACTGTATTTGCTAAAATAGCTCACTGCTGAAGTTGGCTTGAAATGAACTTCAAAGGTCTGGAAACATATGAATACATTGGTCAAAATGACAACTTCTTCCTCCAAGTGAAAGAGGAGCCAACAAGGAGAGGTGCTATGCTGGATCTTGGTCTCACCAACAAGGAGGGGCTGCTGAGGAATGTGAAGCACAAAGGCAGCTTTGCCTGCAGTAGCCATGAAATGGTGGTGAAGAGCAAGCTAGCTTCCCCAGACTTCAGGCAATAGGATTTGTATCTCTTCATGGACCTACTTGGGAAAGTACCATAGATAAAGCCCCAGAAGGAAGAGGCACCCAAGGAAGATGGTTAACAGTCAAGTATCACACCCTCTAAGCTTAAGAGCAATGCATCCCAACAAAGAGGAATTTGGGTAAAAACATCAGGATGCCTGCATGGATAAGCAGCTCCTGGACAAATTGCAACATAAAACCCACAGAGGGTGGGTACTTTCCTACTTACTAGCAGAAAAGTTGACTCAGCTTATGTCCCAGTTGACACAGCCATGATACAGAGTGCTGCCATACAATTTCAGAAAACCTCAACCCATACAGAATGACATCATATCACATCAGAAGGGTTCAAGCATCTGCCCTTCTTGTCCTTTAGCCCAACCTTTTATACCCCTCATAGTTCACGCACTGCCCCTGTGTGCCCTCTGCCCCCTTTGGTGGTTGGTCAGTGCCCCTGGGCACTCCATGGCTCATTGCTGCCAGTGCTGCTCACCTGCTTCTCACAGCTGTAGCCCATTGGAGATGAGGCTCTGCTACAGCCCCATTCCCAATTACCACAAACTGTCTACCTACAGAAAGCAGCATATCCAATACACAACCACACACAAAAAGTATTCTGAATTTACATGGTCTAGCAGCTTGATTCAGGTATTGCTTTTGCTGACAAATTCAATGCCCCTGAAGCTCCAAAGTGGGTGACTTGCTAAAACCTCCTTGAAGTTCATTACTATGGTTTGCATTTTACACAGCAAGTGTAACTACTCCAGCTTCACAAATAGCAATAGGAGGTAGTCTTATCTTAGGCACACAGAGAAAATTCAAAGAAATTTTGGTGAGAAGAGGCAGGGTTCTGGATCCAACCAGAGTATCTGTGGAAGACACCTGCACCAACTCCAGGGTCATTCACTGGGACATTGTACACATCAAGCTTTATCAACTAGTCATGCTTCCAGTGTCTTGAAAAGCCTTGACATAAACATGTATGAGAGTTGCATTTCTTACTTGTAGAAGATACCTCTGAGGTGCTGAAAAGCATAGATAGGAAGCAAGCATAGATAATATATTAACTTGGAAACCAAAATAAAACAATCCAACGCAAGCATCTCTGTACATAAGACATGTACAACAAGCCTTGATAGGAATAGTATTTTTCATTTAACAAGGTAATATAATAAACAGGCAACTTTTTGGGCACAAAGCCCCCCCTCTGACGCATGTGAAGTAGGAAGAACACTTTTGAAGACTACACACAAATTACTACTGTAATTGGGATTCTAAGCACACGTGCTACTAAGGCTGTTCCCCAAGGAAAGTCTTGGTACCTATCTAGGCGGTCGGTTAACATGAGAAAAAGGTTGTTATATGCCACGGGGGAAGTCTGATGTAGATTTTATTCTGTGGAATACCAAGTGGCTAACAGGATAGGAAAAAAATTGTCACACCTCATTTTACCCCTAGCATGGTACACTTGGCTGGCTTGCAAGCTGCATTTCCCCAATTAGTCTTCTTATGAAGAAGCTTTTACTCCTTCACGAGCACATCCAGGTGTGCAGCTCTCGTGTAACCCTGCCAGAGGCAAGACCTGCTGCCCTGGGCCTTGCTGCTCTCACATCGGAGGGCTCTGCCAATGACCATGGCGTGTTTTACAGCACACACGGGCTGCAGAAGCTGCGGGCCCTTCACTCCTTAGCGCTCTTTGCCTGCAGTCCGGCAAAGCACACGCACTGCACCCATGGAGCCAAGCCACACTCAGACAGGAAAGGTGCCCAGGGACAGACTGTTTGAACGCAATTTTACCCTCTCGTTTTATTTCCCACTCAAATTCCGCGTCCAGCAGCGTCCCCGCGGGCAGACTGAAGCACGGTCCCCGCCCACAGCCGGGCGGCAGCAGCGCCGCGGCTTCAGGGCCTTCCGCCTGGCCGGGGGCGGGGCCGCCTCCTTCCTTCCCGGATCCCGGCATGGCGGAGTATTCCTGCGTCAAATCCACCAAGCTCGTCCTCAAAGGGTCGAAAGGGAAGAGGTGAGGAGCGGGCTGCGCGCCGCGCCGCCCCTGCCCGCGCTGCGGCAGCCGCGGGGCCCGCAGGCCGGGGCCGGTGCAGGCGGCCGGGCGGGCAGGGGCCGGGCCGGGCCGGGCCGGGTCAGTGACCCGCTCCCGCGGGGCCGGGTCGGCGGCTCCTTCTCACTTCTTTGCATCTCCCCTTGCAGCAAGAAAAAGCACAAGGAAAAGAAACGGAAAAGGGAGGAGGATGCGGCAGAACAGCTCGATATTGTTGGTGAGCTGCTTTCCAGGAGTTACGTGACAGTGCGGAAGCTGTAGGGGATGTGGCAGAAGCTAAAGAGGATTCGTGAAGCAAGTGTAACCCCTGTAGAGATACATAACTATTTCTTACAACATGTCATTTGTGTCTTGGGATCTTCCTCGATTCCAAATGGAATCTGTGACACCAATGGGATGGATTCAGATTTTTATAAGTAATAAAAAAAAAAATGCTACTATGTTAATGATGTAGGAAATATTTGTAAAACAGTAGACAAGGAGAAAATTTTACTGTTCAAAAAAAATGCAAAAGTTGTAATTCTAAGTTGTGCACATGGAAAGGGCTGCCTTTAACTTTGGTAGAATTTTGTAGGAGTCAAATGTTCAAACTCAGATTGGTTTGAGCAACTCAATTGGTTTGAGGTCTAAGGATTACAACTCACATACTTAAACAGCAAGAGAAAATACTATCTCTGTTATTCTTGTGCTGAAGAATCTAATTAATGGATATGACCCCAAAACTGCAGGAGACAGATCCAGAGGGAAAAAATATTTTTCATGTGAGGTGTGTCTTTGCTGCATCCCCTGAATGAATCAGCTTGGTCTTTGTACTAACACAAAGAAGGGATGAAGCACAGGAGCTTGTAACTAGGGATGACAGCAGATCAAAGAGCAGGACTTCCTGAAGCAGCAGCAGCAACACCATTAAATTGGCTCTGGACTATAAAATAATGCACAAAAAATTGTGAGATAGCTATTTGAATTTAAAATTTCAGAGAAGACACGGAAATACAATCTCTTCGGCTGCTGTAATCAGAAGTTGTGATTTCTCTGTTAATAAACTGTCATGGTTTTGTATTACAGGAAACTGGTGGGCTGTCAGTAATTTCGGTGAAATTACAGGAACTATAGCTATAGAAATGGATAAAGGAGCTTACATCCATGCCCTCGACAATGGCTTGTTTACACTTGGAGCACCACATAAAGGTTTGTTCCAGGAAATTTGAAAATAGTAGTTTTAATAATGAAGTGCCTAAAAGCATAGAACTAGCATCACTTCAAGGCAAGCAATGTTACAGCTAAAACCAGTTTACTGCAAAAAATGCAATAATTCTAGCTGAAACATGACGATGACTTAAACCTAATGATTGCCAATCAGTTTCACTCATCTAGTTTCATGCTGGCTTATGTGTGCAATAAATTGAACGGCACTGGAGTTGATTACCTGTTAAAGGCCGTACCACTTGCTGGATAAAAAGCAGTACAGTTTTTATTAAAACCTATAAAATGTTTATGGTGTCACTTGAAGAGTGAAATTCAAGGTAGATGAGTTTTAATGGTTATTGCTGCATCCTTGTCTTAATATACTTGTTTTGTCACTGCACAAGAGGACTGCTAATGTGCTGGGATAATTACCCCTTTGAATTTGAGGGCAATGGCTCTGACATGGACTGTTCCAGAACCCTGACAGCGTGTGTCTTTCATCTCCAGACGAGATCAGAGCAACAATGGCCATATTCTCTTGTTTTGGTTTGGAGGGATGAGAAGCCAGTAGCTTTTAGGATACTGAGTTGAGTTACCATGGCTGAACCATAATGGATTTTGTTATGAAAGAAGTAACATTACAAGGAGATTAGGGTTTTCAAAGCTATCAGGAAAATTACAAAACATTCTCAGTTATAATGAAAAGAAATTTAAATTTCTTTAAATTATGATCATCTTTATTTTGTGTCTTGTTTTAAGCATTGTAAATATTTGAACATTAATGAGCACCTGCATTGCTTTTTTAAAAGTGAATACTCAAAAAGGAATTTTTAATGAAATAAATACTTCCCATAGTATTTAGAAAGTCAATGTTTAATTCTTTTTGATACTGCAGTATTAGTAGGATAATACATTTTATGTTTATACTTAACTAATGGGAAATTCTTTCCTCAGGTGACGAAGGCCCTAGTCCTCCTGAGCAGTTTACAGCAGTAAAGTTATCTGATACAAGGTAATTACTGTAATGTTTCAAGTTTTGATACTTGTTATTTTTGGATTTTGTGTGAAGACATTTTAATACTCTTGAAATACTTGTCTGCTACTAAAAGTGTCTGTGATGTGTTGGATATAGTGAATTGTGTGAATTAAGAACAGTCTTTATTGTTTCCTACAATTCCTTCCTTCCTTTCCTTCGAGGATTGCTCTCAAGTCTGGTTATGGCAAGTACCTTGGTATAAATTCAGATGGGCTTGTTGTTGGACGTTCTGATGCAATAGGATCAAGAGAGCAGTGGGAACCTGTCTTCCAAGATGTAAGCTGTTTGGAATAGTTTCTTTGATGTTGCTAGTGTTTGTATTTTGAGTTAATCTATATAGATGGTTTATTTTACTATGAAGTAAAAGCCTTTTGCAATCTCTTCCATATTGTAACTTACGATTTTCCAACTGCAATGCATTTACTGTAATTGAAAGTTTTTAAAATACTTCAATAGCTGCCTTCTGGCAGCTATAAGCATCTTAAAAATGAAGGAGTCAGCAAGTCTGGCTAGCTGTTGAAGTATCCATACATAAAAGAATTATTTACAGAGACATTTGGTGTATTGTAGAGGATAAATTGTTACAAATCAAAGATTATATACAACCTCATTTTACTTAAAATGTGTGATATTGTTTCTGCAGAGGAAGATGGCATTACTAGCAGCAAACAGCCGTTTTATTAGGTGTAATGAAGAGGGGGACATAGAAGCCAGAAGCAAAACTGCAGGGGAAGAAGAAATGATAAAGGTAATCTATAACTTCTGCAATTAATACAGGATTGGCAGGAATCAAACTCAAGCAAGTAGGTGTCTGTGTGCTATGATTTTCTGTTAATACTGTTATAATTGCTTCCTATAAGCTGTTGAGTGATCTGGCCCACAAGAAAGGTAAATGAGTTCCAGGGCTGCATAAATTCTCAGTACTTCCTGTAGATATAAGAAGATACTTTACCATTCAGGAGGACAAAAGAGTCTTCCAGATCTTCCAGATAGTTCTAAGCAGCTTGGGACAGAAAAGAGGAATTATAAGCGAATTAGGGACAGAGAAGGGTTTACCAGAAAGATCCAGAAGGGGAGATCTTTTAAGAGAATCTGAAAATACTATCTTGACTTTATCTGAACATGGGAAATATAAGTAGAGATAGGCATCTTAACTAGACAGAGCAATAGTATTTTAAGTCAATCTCTGGATTGACCCTGCCAAAATTAAGAACTGTAATAGTGCTCCTTTGAAATAAAGGCAGTTATGTCTTACCAGAGTATCAAGGATTGCATTTGACATTTCCCATATTTCAGGCACTTCTTACTTTTGCAGGTGTTTCTGGTTAACCAGTTTGAAAACGTAAACTTGAAAAGTCACTGTGACTCTCATTCTGTTACAAAGGATATGTAGTCATCTTTCACCTGTAACTTACTGTTTTTAAAATACACATGTTTTCTATTGTGTTTTGGTTGTTTTTTCTTTTTTTGTTCAATTATTAGATTCGTACATGTGCTGAAAGAGAAGCTAAGAAGAAAGATGACGTTCCACAAGAAGACAAAGGAAATGTTAAACAGTGTGAAATCAATTACGTGTATGTACTTTAGAGCTAGTTACAGGCTCAAGTCCCTTTTTTTGCTTCTGGCTGGGGCTGTCACTGGTGGAAGGGCCCAACTCCTATCCATCCTTTCGCTCACTTTTCATTAGCAGGACAAGGGAAGAAAACAGAATGAGAAAGCTCATTGGTTGAGATAAAGGAGAGCTGCTGTACCAGATACTGTCCCAGGGTTAACTGTGAGAAATTAGTTAAATTTATTTCCTTTTAAATGGGTGTACTGAGAGATAAAAAATAAAAAACACCACCTTTCCTTCTCCCATCTCTCAAGCTCAGCTTCTCTCCAGACTCTTCTACCCACTCCTCCAAGCCAAATGGGCTATAGGTCAATACACAGTGGTTTCTCTCAGCCATTCCCTTCCTTTCCCACTTTTCCCGTGCTCTGGTATGGTCTTATTCATGGGCTGGAAAGTAATATTTGCTCAAGTGCCTTAAGCATCTCCTCCTCTGTGCTTGATGTTCACACTGCCATTTTGCACTTTTAGGTTTGGTTTTTTTTTCCTTCTCTGCCTGTGTGGCATTTTGCTTTATCTTAAATATGTTTTCATAGGAGTGCCATCATAGGATTTCCTGTGTCCTGTAGTGGATGTCTTGAGAGCCAGCTCTGTCCAGCACAGGAGAGCCTCTGGCCTTTTCTCACAGAGAAAAGCCCTGCAGCTTCCCTACAGTCAGCACCTTGCAACTACATCCAGAACACTTTTGCTCCCTGATTTCTTATGCTAGTAGTTGAAGAAGGGGCTCTTCAGAGTTTGTAACCACTTCGTGCTAGTAACATAGGGGCTCATTCCTACTTAGACTGCCAAAAAAAAATAAAACCTGAATAATTTTCACCTACAGAAGCCTTAGTGCAACCTTAGTACTGGAATGGTTTGCTGGATTTTATTAGGTCGGTTACCTGCTGCTTTAATAGGAGCTGAGATTCTTACCATAGCTGCTGTTATGATGGAAAACAAAATTTTTAAAAAGCCTCAATTCTTTACTACTTTTATTCCCCCTTACAGGAAGAAATTCCAAAGTTTTCAAGACAAAAAGCTTAAAGTAAGCAAAGAAGATACAAAAGCCCTTAGAAAAGCCAGAAAAGAAGGCACTTTTCATGAAATGCTACTTGACAGGTACTTCAAAGTGTTAGAAATAATGTATTGAGTAAAAAACTATTGGGAGATGGAATTACAGTAAAAGCTGGGGCACAAAAGAGGGCTAGATTTCAGGGAGATAGGTTCCTGAGCATTTTTCTTCTGGTGAATTTTGTGCCTGAGTCCTGGGGGTTGTCACCTTTTTTTTTTTTTAATCTGGATTTTCACTTCTTTAGCTGAAGTTTGCAGGTTTGAATTTACCTGTAACTTAGTTCTTTTGAAAATCTTTAACTAGGTTGTTCAGTTTGTTTAGTATAGAATTGTTGAGGGGTTAATCTTTTTAATAATTAAAATTGAGCTATTTTTTAACATTTTTCAATACCTGTGGTACCAGAATATTTTGGAGAAGCAGAAGTTGCATTTTAAAGAGAAATAGTGTTTATTAAGGACAGTCTTCATGTTATCTACTGGGAATTTTTTTTCCCCTAAACTGAGACTGAAGAAACCATGTTGAATTTTTAAACCCTTTTATGTCAGTATATAGTATAAATATTTGCCTTAATTCAGGGGTGGAATGAAGCAAACTATTCCTGATAATTGCAAGTGATGTGAGAACACTCCTGAGCTCTCACAGGTGGTCAGCTTCAGATCATGCTGAACGCGAATTCCATTCCTCAGAGGAGACAAAATGCAATTATGATGATTTGAAGGGAAAGTGAAGGTTAACTTTAGACACTGCAGTTCCATCTCCTCAGGAAAACAAAGTTAATTAACAAATCCAAAATGCTGTTAGGCCTTTATGTGTACTTTGAAGCAATGTTTAAGAAAAATTGTTTTCAGTGCATTCTTAACACTTTGAGGCAGATAAAACACCCAGGTGTAATTATATTTGGTCTTAATCTGAATTTTGTTTCATTCCCTCTTTCCATACAGGAGAGCTAAAGTGAAAGCAGATAGATACTGCAAGTGACATCCAGCTCGCTCATTTTCTTCTGCAACTTTGATGACAGCGTGAAATTGAAAAAGAGTAAAATATTTTATAGTTGTTTTTTATTTAAGGCATTTTTAAAGTATCTTCGAATTGTATTAAAATGTTCTCAAATATTAATAACGCAGTTATCTTGTTAATTATATCACTTGTGAGTACTTGGCTTGTATTAAGGGAATGGCTCCAACAAAAATTAAAGGTAGCTTACTATTGTTAACTGAGCTATTTGCCATGTAACTTAAACCCTGGGAGACAGTCTGTACACTGATTTAAGAGAGAAAGCTCCCTGGCTTTTAATTTACTTTAGGATAAAATTTAGAAATAAATTGATGATTGTATGCAAATGTTCCTGGCCAGAGTTAGGAATTCTTGGATAAAAATGCAGCATAGCTGTGAGGTGTGCTGTGCAAGAGAGGGAGAACAAAAGTTACTAATTTTTCTCCAGAGCTCCTTAGTTTGGCCTAGGACAGGGGATTAGGGCTCATTAACTAATTGTTGTAGTACCACACTACACATCCCTCCCCCGAAATGTGACTGATGTACAACGAGCCATTGGAATATCATGGTGCTGCTGTGGCCTGCTGCCAAAACTTCACTCAAGAGCACCGAGAAAATGACAGCACTGCAAGGAGCAGGCTGCAGGCCATACTATTTATCAGAAGTTCAATGCAGGTGTCATTGATCCACAGTCACTGTGAATCTTAAATGCATCTGAAGTGAACACTGATGGTGGAAGTAGATTGATATTACAGCATCTAGTCTTCTTTCAAGAATATATTGTTGGAATAAAAACTTGCCTCATAGAACCTGTAGAAACATATGCTGTGGTGGGGGAGAGTGCTGAAAGGACTGCTCAGCAGCAGAATAAGAGCCTGAAAATTAACCCTGAAAAGGAATTTTCCATTTCATATTAGTGTAAAGAGGAGAATGCAGTATGTTGCAAGTAGCTATAAGTGATAGCAAGGGAAAAATGGAACTGAGAGGAATGTTTGTCACAGAGAGGAAGGAGGTAAGTGAAGTAAAAAGCAATGGCAGAGCAAATGAAATGAGACTGTCCCTAGTAGGGGAGGAAGTACTAGAATTGGCAAGGGACTGGCAGCCTTGCAGAGAATAAGGGTATTTTAATAGCAATGGGTTTGTCCTGTGTGTTGGGACTAATGGTACACTATAGTCTTGAGAAAATGTGTTCTGAGATAACACAGAAACAGGGATCTGGGGAATTGACTGGAAATCTAGTCCCAAGGAAATGAAATCAAATTCACAGTTTCATTATACTGTGAATATCAGTGTGTGTATTTAACTGTTTCTATGAGGAATCTTTTTGGATGTCTTCCCAATGGAATTATTCATGGAGTCATCTTGAAGATACTACATCCTGTCAGTAGTTTTAGTACAATGAGCTTTAAAGGTGCTGGTGTGGACCCTGAAGGCAAGGCATTGTGATAGCAACACAGCAGAATAGCCATAGTCAGAGAAGGTGACTGGTGCTGGAAGGTAACTTTCTTAAGCTGAGAATTTCTTTACTAGTGAAAGAACTAAACCAGAATCACAAAGCGACCTCAAAAAAGTACACTGTGTAATGTGACAATGACATTATTTTGTCTTCAGAGCATTTGGAAAGAGTTTTTAATTTTCCAAAGTCATTGTTTATTTTCTCCTGTTAAAAATGTACTAAAGATGGTAAAGCATCTAGACGAAGATAATGAAGTCTCTAACAGCAGTCGCCCCAGATATAAATAATGACCAAAAGATGTTCAGAAAATAGCAGGACCAACTTAATCAGATGCTTTCTTACCCATAATAATATATTTGGATATCTGGAAGTAAACATAGGATTATGGTCTTAAATGTATTTGTTTTCAACTGAAAATATTTTCCAAACCCTATAGAAACTGCCTGATGTCCTGTTTTTAAAGAACATGCCCATGAAAATCCCAAGGTTTATCTTGTTACACTGTAATCTTCCTCAGTTCTTAAATCCACAGATAGGTTCTGTATCTTCTTTCACCAGTGCTTAAATGTTTTTATGCCTTGGTCTCTAAAGCTCCGTGCAATTCCCAGCTTCTGCTCTGAGCTGGCTCCTTATACTGCTGCATGCTCTCCTCCCAAGGCATTCCCACACTACAGTACATTTTTATCCTTTCCTGTTTCTTAATTTTTGCAGTTCCATGCAGCTTTACAATCAACTGTCTGCCAATGACTTCTTTTTCTTGCCACCCCTACTTGGTTTTGTAAGAGAGTTAATTGCACAGGCAGTTAAGTCACAATGTAGAGACTGCATCACTTCTTTTCTGTGGGCCTAAAAACATGTGACATGACTTAGGCACTGCACAGTGAGACACATTATCACATGAGACAAGCCAAAATGCAGCCGGGAAAGTTTGAGTACTTTTTCATGGTGCTTCCACCAGCTGTTGCCGATGTACACACTCATGAAGCATTCATTTGTTCCCACTAAAATGATAATGCTCGTACTAAAATGACAGTACACACCTAATTTGGCTGCTGATTTGTACTTGTTACAACAGCCTGATCTAGTGGAAGATGGCCCTGCCCATAGCAGGGGCTTGGAACTAGATTATCTTTAAAGTCCCTTCCAACTCACACCATTCTCCAATTCTATGAAAAAGATACAATTTAAATAATAATTAGAAGGCAGGGCACTTACAGAGTGATGCATCTCATTCCCTGTATTTCTCAATAGTCTGTCTCCCCGGCTGCTCACTTCCTGCACTCCTAAACTGCAAGATGGGGAAAAATCCTTTCTCAAGAACATGCCTGCCTGGCATCTTTCATTACCACTTATGCTCGAAAGATAGGCTGGAAATAAATCCCCATAGACCAATGTCCATAGAGCAGGTATTTGTTTATTGCAGCACTGGTGGTGAGGGGGATATCTCCTCCTAACTTGCCCACCCTTGTCAAGTGCTGTGGTATATCTATACAACAAGTTTTGCTTCGTATTGCTATGTCACTACAGCATCATCACATATGTGCTGGAACTGATTTACACAGTATAATCTCATGGTTGTCAGATGTTCTTTTGCACTGCACTTGCATTTCCCCGGTCCGGGGGTTGTTGGGGGTCTTTGATGAAGGCTTCCAAGGTCTTCTTCGCATCTGAACTTTTCAACTTTGTCTTCAGAGCATGTGCAGTTACAGTGTTCCTTGATCTGTCTGGTCCCAGCCAGTCTAAATTCTTTATTTTGTGGCCAATCGGCTTGACATTTGACAATTTCTTATTAGTACTATACTTGCCTATCTCTAAAGCCATGCACCTGGTGAGTTTTTTCTTCTTCTTTTTTTTTTTTTTTTTTTTTTTTTGTCTATCAGCATTAAGCAACTAGTTAACCACATACCAGCCATTACATTGTCTAGAATGTTATTTATATCAGGTTATATAGGTATAAAAAGTTATTATTCAGGTTATGCTGATCTCTTATAACTCAAGCTATATAAGCACCTTGTAATTTTGACCTAAGTTGCATAGGCATCACCGCACAGCCTACCTAAAATCTGCACAGGACACAGAGTAATTAAAAATCGCACTAGTGCCAAAGTGAAAACTGGTGCCACGGGTTTTCTCTCAGCGTTGCCAAAGAGCGGCGATTCTGTTTCAGACTGAAAACGCACAGCAGCGCTCTATGGTACCTGCCCGGGCGGGGCCGTGCCGTGCCGTGCCGCGCTCCCGCCCCCGGCGGGCGGGGCTCTGTCATGTGGCCGCGGCTCCGGGAAGCGCCGCTCGGAGCGGAGCCGGGCAGGACTATGGCGGGCCGGGGCCGGGCGCTGCTGGCGCTGCTCGTCCTGGCGCAGCCCGCCTGGGCGCCGGACCCGGTGAGCCTGGCGGGGGACGGGCAGGGGCGAGCGGGGCCGGCGGGAGCGGATCGCCCCGGGGCTGGCGGGGGGATGCGGCCGCCGCCCTTCCCGAGGCGGGAGGCCGGGCCAGCCTCTGGATTCACGCGTGGGGATGCGCGGCAGCAGCGCTCCCCACGGGCTCCCTGTGCCGGGCAGGGCTCCTGCGGCGGGAGTCCTTGCTCGGCCCGGCGCTCGGCTCCGTGCGCGGCTGTAATGTCAGGGTCGCCCTGTTGGTACACCGCAGCGGCGATTCCCAGAAGGAAAGTTAAGAGGTCTTCCTGAAAAAGCGCAGGGTTCTGGATCTGCTGCGTGTGTGTGCTGAGCTTCACCCGAGGGGAGCAGCGTAGAGCAGGTGGCCTTGGTGTGTCGTTTCTTGCTCTTTCGGCCGTTTGGGGTTTTTTAACTGAACACATTAAATATTTAACTTTTGCTGGAATTGGGAAGCTGGGAATGCGAGGGTAGTCATTTGGAGCAAGCTGGCTTCCATCTCCTGCGCATGTAAACAGTTCCTCTTGTTTCCTGGTGTATTCCTGAATCAGCGAAGCATTCTTTCGTCTCTTGAAGTTCCTAAATTTACTCTTCTATGAGGAGAGCAGGTTTTAAATATCTCTGGGTTTCAAAATAATTTTTGCGATCTATTTTTTTTTTTTTTTAGCAAATTGGATTGATTTGGGAAATTTAGTATAGGTTTTGTGGAAGAGTAGAGATGCAGGAAATGACTGGATGGCGAGTGTTCCCTTAGCGTCTTTTAATACACAGGATTTGGCTTTTTTCTCTGCCCTCTCTTCCCTTCTTCCAGTCCCAGCCTACCAGCCAAGAGCAGCTTCCTAATGTTCTAAGCTATCTCTCGCTTAAAACACTTTTAACAATTTTAGCCAGAAGTATCTTGGAATGTGGAGTCGTAGGAGAAAGTGCCAGCTGTCAGCAAAGTAGTAGCATTAGAGCTTGATTTGCATTTGATTTCACTTGGTGCATCTTTGCACTTGCACAATATCTGCCGTGTATCTAGGTTGTGCTGCTGTGCAGCCAGATATTAGGCTTGGATATTTGATTTTTGTTTGAGATGCAGGGTTGCATCACATGTTGAAGAATCCTTCCTAAGTGCCGCTGGGTTCATCTCATTAACAAAGAACACGAGATAAATGCCTTGAATTACGTCTCAGAGGTGTAGTCTGTCAGTCCCTTTAGCTTTCATTGAGGCCCCCTCAACCATACTGACCTTTTTGTCCAAACTGCAGTTTAAGTTGTCTTGTCACTGT